CACAAAATAACTAATCAAAAAGAAAAGAAAACACAGCAAACAAAATATGAAACAAAACATAGAACAAAACAAACCATACATAAAAAACTTAAAAAAAGAAAACAAATGAAAACAAAACAAAAAAACAAACAAAACAAAACATGAAACAAAACGAAAAACAACAAAACATGAAATGAAACGAAAGACAAAACAAATTAAACATGTAACTATACAAAGCAAAATGAAAATGAAAACAAAAAACAAAAAAGTAATGACAAACAAAGCAAAAGAATTAAACTAAACAAAACATGAAATGAAAATAAATGAAACGAAAAACAAAACAAAACAAATGAAACAAAGCAAAGCAAAGCAAAATTAAAATTAAAATAAAAAACCTAACAAAACAAAACATGAAATGAAAACAAAATGAAAGAAACATGAAGCGAAACAAAGCAAAACAAAATGAAAATGAAAAAAGAAATGAAAAACAAAACTAAAACTAAAGAAAACATGAAAACATGAAACGAAACAAAGCAAAGCAATATGGAAATTAAAAAAACGAGAAAAACTAAAAAAACATGAAATGAAATGAAAAACAAAACAAAACAAAACAAATGAAACAAAATAAAAAAATACAAAACAAACCATAAACCATAAGCAATACAACACAAAACGAAACACAAAACAAAACTAAATAAAGCAAAAGCAAATCAAAGCAAAAAGAAAAGAAAAGGAAAATAAAAAACTCATTGAAAATTTTTTAACAAAAAACACAACAAATCAAAGACAAACCAAAACAACAGAAAATTAAACACAAAACGAAGCATAAATACAAAAAAGAAAATAAAACAAAACATGAAATGAAAGACAAAACAAACAAAAACAAAAAAGAAGCCAAAACAACACAAAATGAAACAAAGCAAAGCGAAAAAATAAATAAAATAGGCCTAACTATTAACTATTAATACAGCAACAAATACAGTTCAAACAGTTCTAGACTGTCAAATTCAAAACTAAATTTCTTGGCTGACAAATGCTATCCTGAACACAGACTGCAAAAATTTGCATAAAGACAAGAGCTTGCCATTTGTCCGTAAAAAAAAAAAAAAGGTATATTTTTATATAGCTGGTTGATCACAGATTATTTTAAATCACCAAATAATACAATGCCAGGGCTAAAACAAAATATTCAAGCAGCAGATATTTCTTAGGAGAGGTTTTCTTAAATTAAATTATTTTCTTAAATTTCTTCTGGGTTTCAGATGATGAGAAGATAATACAAATCACAGAAAAGACAGAAACAGGAGACAAGACAGAAAAAAGAGAGATCCAAAGGGAAGACGAATCTCACTGGCCTCATTATTCTGACCTCTGACTTTGGCAAGAACACAGAAAAGAGTGTGTAATGCTTTCCAGAGAAAAGGAAAAGACAAGAGTGTGCTTTATTTTGGGTTTGTAGGGTTTTCCTGCAGGGCCCGCTGGAGTGATCCACATTCACCCGCTCAATCGCTGTGTGTCTCTCTGTGTTCTAGCTCAAGAGAGAAGCTATTTCAATCACAGGGAGAGCTAAAAATAGCACTAACCAAAGAGTGAGAGAGAGAGAGAGAGAGAGAGAGCGAAAGAAAGAGATGTGCTGACACACTGTGAATTTAACATCCTGCGGTCACTCGGATCACTCAAGAGCATCTATACTGACACTGAATCAACTGATGAAAGAGTGAAAGAATAAACATACCATAAATAAGACATAACCAGTTCATAAGATAATGGATTGGACAACTAAAAATAAAATAAGTCGATAAGCAAAACAAATAGATCAAACAAGAAATTAATGAATCAACTGAATGAATGAATGAATGAATGAATGAATTGATGGATGGATGGATGGATGGATGGATGGATGGATGGATGGATGGATGGATGGATGGATGGATGGATGGATGGATGAATGAATGAATGAATAATTGAATGAATGAATGAATGAATGTATGGAAAAAAATTAACAAACAAGTAAACAATGACATTAATAAATGAATGACCAAACAATCAGTCAAATGACTGAATGAATGGAAAATTGACTGACTGACTAACTGACTGGCTTGAATGAATGAATGAATGAATGAATGAATGAATGAATGAACATTCATTCTTGAACAATTGCCAGAATAAAATCGAATGAATTAATGAATGAATGAATGAATAATCAACAGAATGAATGAAGGAATGATTAACTTAATAAATAAATGAATGGACAAACAATCAAATGAATGAATGAAAAAACTTTGACTGATTGAATGCATGAATGAATGAAAGAACAATAGATTAAATTAATTAATGAATAAACGAATGAACCATCAACTGAATGAATGAGCGACTAAGCGAATGAATGAATGAATGAATGAATGAATGTATGTATGAATTAATTAATTAATTAATTAATTAATTAATTAATTAAAAAACATAGATCATAGCACATGAATGAAGGATATGAACTGCTGAATGAACAAACACACAGACGGAT